CCTGGTCAGAACGCACCACGGGGAGAGGTCCGCGGAGGAGGAAGAAGCACCGATGCCGCTGCTCGTCCCTCGACCCCACGGCTGGGACTGCCTCGAGATCCTGGTCAGGGCGCACCACGGGGAGAGGTCAGCGGAAGAGAGAGGGGCGACGTGAGTACGAGGTCGAGGAGGACGATGACGACGGCGATGACGACGGGGAGGACAAGGTCGAGTGCAATAAGGGGGGAGCAAGAGGGGGAGGAGGAGGCCAACAAAGACGAGGAGGAGAAGGCTCTTTTCGAGCAATTCACACCTCGCCACCTTGTTCATCACATCGACCATGTTCCGCACACGTGGGGCGGCGGTGTCTGCCCCCTCAGGAGCGTTCAATCACTAAGAGCCACCCACAGAGTTTCAGCAATGGTAATGCGCCCCCATGCAAATAGCACAACTGTCCTGATACATGCTGAACGGAGGAAGGTGGCATGCATCTATCAAGATGCGCCCATTGCTAAAAATGTCATTGTTGGGCGACTACCACAAACCCGCACCCCAATCACAGCATCCCAAGAGCCGTGCTATAGACACACTGTCGCTGTCAGTGAAAAATCCTGTGCCATTGCTGGCCCGTATCACATACCAATGAACAGCACAACGCGGCACGGCATCTGGCGAGAGCGCTCCTTAGGACTGGCGTTCTCGCACCGACCGGTGGATGAGCCACAGGACTAAGCCGAGCTAAGGTGCAGGCTGACCGCAGCTTCAAGGGCGTGGAAGCTCCTGCCGGGACGGGGCGCGCGAGTTCGCGCCGGTCCGGACAGAGCTTCCTCTTCATCCACATCATCCCCGCCGTCCTGTACGTCAGCAGCCTCGTGCTCACGCTCACTCTCATCGTCCTCATCCTCCTTTCTGTGAAAGCCGTTCTTTTCGTCTGGGGTCGACCCGTGGACGTGGCCACGTCGCGTGAAACGCCTACTAGACCGCTGCCCCGGGAAACATAGAACCATGGTGGTATCAAGCTTTCAAGCTACACTGGTGGACCCAGCACCTGCTACAACGCCTTGGGCACTCATCTGGGCACTTGTTTCTCATTAGCTGCTGGAGAAGGAACCTGAGGATGATCCGAAAATCAAACTCCGATATGGTACCTGTGGAGTGTTGTGTTCCGCATTGCTCGCCGATATGTTTTCAAACGCGGGTCCGGGGCTTCGGACAAACCAGCGAGCGGGAATGTAAGGAATGAAACTTCCATGAAGTGGGTTCACGCTCGCCGTCAAAAGGCCTGCATGGGGGCAAACAAGAAACTAATCCCACCAGCCCTCTGGGCGTCGGTGGTTTAGGGAGTTTCCTCTTCCACCCCTCCTTTTTCCCCTTCGGGGAGGGGTTGATCACTGTTCCCCATGAATATACACACCCCCAGGCGACTGGGAGCCAACCAGATTCAATGCGGGCACCACCCCACCATCCCTTGCAAAAAGACTACGAAACACACTCCGCCTCCAAATTCGGAGCATGCGCAGCCAACCCGATGCGGCCTCCCCCCACCATCCCTGTCAAAAAACAATACAAAACACACTTGGCGGCGGCGGCAGCTGCGGCGGCTGCGGCGGGGGCAGCGGTTGCGGCGGCTGCGGCGGTGGCGGCGGCGGTGGCGGCGGCGGCGGCCGGGGCGACGGCGGCGGCGGCGGCGGCGGTGGCGGGCGGCGGCGGCAGCGACGGCGGCAACGGCTGCGGCGGCGGCTGCGGCGGCGGCGATTCGGCAGCGGGGGCAGCGCGGCGGCGGCGGCGGCAGCGCGCGGCGGCGGAGGTGGCGGCGGTGGCGGCGGCGGCGAGGGCAGCGGCGGCGGCGGCGGCGGCGGCGGACAGCGGCGGCGGCGGCGGCGGCGGCGCGGGGGGGGGCGGCGGCGGGCGGCGGCGGCGGCGAAGGCGGCGGCGGATTGGCCCCCAGTAGCTACCCATCCAAAGACGACTGCTGCATATGCTGCGGTTCGGGCCAAGCTCGGGTGCTACGTATGTGTTGGGAGGGCGGGTGGGAGTGAGCGAGACAGCTTGCGGCCGGAGAATGAATTTTGATCACTGTTCCCTATTAATAAACACCCCCTCCCCCAGGCGACTGGGGGCCAACCAGGGACCATGACGACCCCCCCACAATCCCTTGCAAAAAACAATACAAAGCACACTCTGCCTCCAAATTCGGAACATGCGCAGCCAACCCGATGCGCCCCCCACCACCACCACCATCCCTATCAACAAAAATTATCCCGGCAAAGCAACCTAACAGCGATGTGTAGAAGCATATCTGAAAGCATTCCCCTTAAGATTCAAATGAAAATCCAGTTGTAGAATTCTGCTGTTCTCGCAGTCGTAGTCGCATTCGCGATGACAGTCGCAGCGGCAACGGCAGTCGCAGTCACAGCCTCAGCCTCAGCCTGCCTCAGCCTCAGCCTCAGCCTGCCTCAGCCTCAGCCTGCCTCAGCCTCAGCCTCAGCCTGCTTCAGCCTCAGCCTCAGTCTGCCTTCAGCCTCGGCCTCAGCCTCAGCCTGCCTCAGCCTCAGCCTGCATCAGCCTCAGCCTCAGCCTCAGCCTGCCTCAGCATCAGCCTGCCTCAGCCTCAGCCTCAGCCTGCCTCAGCCTCAGCCTCAGCCTGCTTCAGCCTCAGCCTCAGTCTGCCTTCAGCCTCGGCCTCAGCCTCAGCCTGCCTCAGCCTCAGCCTGCCTCGGCCGCAGCATCAGCCTGCCTCAGCATTCAAAATGTGGCCCAGGAATGGAGTTCTGGGAACTCGAAGAACACGAAGTGGCCTACAGTTGGCTCCGGGCATTCAAAATCATGCCCAGGAATGGAGTTCTGGGAACTCGAAGACCACGAAGTGGCCTACAGTTGGCTCCGGGCATTCAAAATGTGGCCCGGGAATGGAGTTCTGGGAACTCGAAGAGCACGAAGTGGCCTACAGTTGGCTCCGGGCATTCAAAATGTGGCCCGGGAATGGAGTTCTGGGAACTCGAAGACCACGAAGTGGCCTACAGTTGGCTCCGGGCATTCAAAATGTGGCCCGGGAATGGAGTTCTGGGAAATCGAAGAGCACGAAGTGGCCTACAGTTGGCTCCGGGCATTCAGAATGTGGCCCGGGAATGGAGTTCTGGGAGGTCGAAGAGCACGAAGTGTGTGACTGTTTGCTTAAAACGACTTCTGCGGCACCCTGTCCGGCACCCGCCCAGACCCCCCTGTGGAGTCATCTGCTGCTCTCTTTTAAGACTACTAGAAACCTATCAGTCTTCGCTGTTAGGTAACAACACTGAACACACTTGGCGGAGGCGGCGGCGGCTGCGGCGGCGGCTGCGGCGGCGGCGGCGGCGGCTGCGGCGGCTGCGGCGGCGGCGGCGGCGGCGGTGGCGGTGGCGGCGGCGGCGGCGGTGGCGGTAGCGGCAGCGGCTGCGGCGGCGGCGGCGGCGGCGGCGGCTGCGGAGGCGGCGGTGGCGGCAGCGGATTGGCCCCCAGTAGCTACCCATCCAAAGACGACTGCTGACTATGCTGAGGCTCGGGCCAGACTCGGGTGCTACGTGTGTGTTGGGAGGACGGGTGGGAGTGAGCGAGACGGCTTGCGGGCTGGGGGGGCTCTTGACCCCTCCCCCTACCCCCTCCCCATGGACCTGGACGGGGGGGTTCGCGAGGTGTCGGAGCGTCCAAAACGGCCTCGGCGAGGAAGCCCAAAGCATTGGTTTTACTATGGTTGTACGATGGTTTGGGCCCCAATTGGGCCTCCTGGGGGGGGCCCTAATTAGGGACCCCCCTCCTGTGATCGATCTCACCCACGATGGCCCAAATATTGCCCCCAAGGCTCCCAAGGGTGCCCCAAGAGGGCCCCAAGAGGAGGCCAGGAAGCCCCAAGAGGCCCCCAGGGTGCCCCCAAGAGGCTCCCAAGAGACCCCCAAGAGGCCCCAAGAGACCCCCAGAGGCACCCACGATGCTCAAAGAGGCCTCGGCGAGAATGCCAAATCATTGATTTCACTAAGGTGTTAGCCACATGTTGGCCTGTTGGGGGGGCACTGATTAAGATAACTTCAAGAGCGCCTGGGAGAGCCCAAGATGACCTCCAAGATGGTTCAAGATATCCCAAGATGTCTCATAATGGCTCCCACGATGCTCCAAGATGCCCCAAGACCGCTCCACGACGGCTCCCAGTGGTCAAAGAGCTCCCCCAGGAGGCCCCGAAGAGGCCAAAACCTTAGGAAACTATGTGTTTGGCTTTCTCGCCTTTTCGCTTCCGATGGCCATCCGAGGCCTCAAGATGGCTCCAAGATGGCCCAAGAGGGCTCCAAGAGAGGCTCCAGAGAGCCCCAAGACGGCTCCAAGAGCGCCTAGGAGCGCCCCAAGAGCGCCCCAAGAGCGCCCCAAGAGGCGATTGTTTGGGCTCCCGAGGGGCAACGCTAACTAATGCTCGCTTCTTGTTTGATCGATGTCCCCCAAGATGGCCCCACGAGCGCTCCCAAGGCTCCCAAGAGCGCTTCAAGAGAGCCCCAAGAGGCGCCCAGGATGCCCCAACAGGCGCCCAAGAGGCCTCCAAGATGCTCCCAAGAGACCCCCAAGATGCCCCAAGAAGCTCTCCGAGGCACCCAAGACGCGCCAAGAGGCCTCCACTGGGGGACCCTTCCTCTGTGAGCTGCCCACTTCCCTCATCGAGGCAACTCCTCTGGGCATCGTTTCTGGATGGGCTGGTGGGGTTACGCGAGGCGTCTAGAATTCAACCTTTTGCCACCTGCACCGTCTCATCGTAACTCGCTCCTCCTCGCCCCTCATTCCTCCTCGCTCCTCCTCCTCCTCCTCCTCCTCCTCCTCCTCCTACTACTACTACCACTACTACGACGACAACGACGACGACGACTACTACTCCTACTACTACTCCTACTCCTACTACTCCTACTACTCCTACTACTCCTACTACTACTACTACTACTACTACTACTACTACTACTACTACTACTACTACGACTACGACTACGACTACGACTACGACTACGACTTAC